TGAAGGTGAAATAATTGTATCACGGTGTAAAACTGACTCATGAAGGTGAAATAATTGTATCACGGTGTAAAACTGACCCATGAAGGTAGAATAATTGTATCACGGTGTAAAACTGACCCATGAAGGTGAAATAAATGTATCACGGTGTAAAACTGATCCGTGTTGGAGTTTTTGCATCACGGTGTGTAATACAATGACTCGTGAAGGTGAAATATAATTGTTTCATGTGGTTTTAACCAACACGCTAGTATAGTTGTTGTGTTTTTATATGGGTTCAATAGTTGTCTAAAAGAGGAAAATTGCGATTTGAAAGAAGAAAAAGTTTAATGGAGATACATTTTAGTTTTGAAACAAACGGCGCGCCATAATAGTTTGCTGTTTACTTTCAGTCATATCATATGCGATGGAACCTCCATTATGGCATTGTATAACACTTTCCTCCAGTATCTGAATGATCTACAAAAGGGAAATATTGTTAACGTTGAAAGTATGGCTTTGAATCCTCCTCTAGCTCACTTCATAGGTCATAAGCTTCACTCAAGTCTTTTGGAGAAGTGCCTCCTTAAAATGTTGCCAACTTTAATAAAGATCAAAAACATGCTCGTTAAACCAGCTCAAAATGTCTATTTGGCAACATTCCCACCACCAATCTTGCAGGATCCATCAATCGTCAAGAGAACAAGCGTCATTCCAGCAGTTTTGAGGAAAGATGAGCTCTCACAACTGCTAATGCTCGGCAAGAAACATGGGTGCACGTTTCATAGCGTTATTACTGCTGCAACTCGTCTTGCCATGGCACAAATCCTGAATACAGGCTCTGTTAAGTCCATACCCGACATGATGAACTTTATAAATGCATTCACCATTTCGTTGAGAAATGACACACAGCCTCCAACACCAAAGGGAGTATTTGCAGGAGCATTTTTCTCTGGCGTGTCACTTGATGTCCCTACACCATGTATACAAAGCGTCACCCCACAAGCCTTTTGGGACTTTGCAAAAGAATGCCATACCTTAATAAGAGAAGTAGTTCAGAAAGACCGTTTTCAGTTTATAAAAATACTTAGTAATGTTGATGTGAAGGAAATGATGTCAACTCTGGAGCATCCCACAAATTACGGTCGTTCCGAAGAGGCATTCAACATCTCCAACATAGGTCGCTTTGTCATTGGTGAACCAACCGATGTTTTCCAGTTTGGTGGCACCTACTTTGCCACGGCCGAGCAAACTATTGGTCCACCATTTAATCATAGTGTTGTGTCAGTAAACGGTGATTTGTACTGGGGATTGGTTTATTATCCTAATATCGCCACCAAAGGACATGCACAACACTTTCTTGAAGTGTCATTGAATATTTTAAAAGTAGCAGCCTCCTCTTCAACAGATTATGGCGATGATCACAATCTCCAGCATACTAAGCCGATCACCTGAAGAAAGACCGCGAGGAGACCAAAAAAGATAAGCGGAGTAAAAGAATGCTATCTATAATTCACTGGATTATGTATCAGATCAGAGGGATTCCGCGATAATACTTACTTCTCTGGATTTCTTTCGAGTTGTATACGAAAACATTATATATTTATTAAACATTATAGTCCAGAAGCCCGAATGGGCTTTATATCCTGTCTTTGTTCTCTTTTTCTCTATGTTAAAGACGTAATTAATTAACGGGGTATCTGCTGCCATAAGTACCTAACCAATAACGCGTAGTAGTGTTAATCAAATCTATCACTTTTATAAGGGGGATGCAACCCCCTCAGCCCTCCCCATAGATCCGCCCCCATATGAACATACACAGCGAAAAATAGTCGGCTTTTGATCCTTTTTGATCATCCAGTGTTATTATTGCACGTACAAATTAATGGAAAATGCTCTCACATCATAAACATTCACAGTTCTTACATCATGATTGATCATCTGTGCTGAAATTGTCAACGTACCGGAACTGTGTGAAAAATTGTTATTTCAGTGAATTGTATTGCTATTCCAAGGTTTTTTCTTCGATAGCATTCACTTATATTGCAGGGCATTTTTACGAAAAACATTGAGCTCTTTTACCTTTAAGTACATGTACGTACAACCCCTTCCCCTCTTATATCAACGTACCCCCTTGGTGTGAGAATTGTACCCCCCACCCCTCCCTCCCTCAAATGTACATTTTTTTAATGTAAATTTTTTTCACAACGGAGGATGGATTACCATTCAGGACGACTGACGTGTCTAAGCACACCTGCGATAATTTTTAACTTCAACATATAGCAGTTTGTCACTTCGAACTCTTAAGAACACTGCACTCGCTCTAACAACACAGGCATCCCAACCATTAAACTATCTCGTACCTTCCCCACACCTACCTTTAGAGGACAAAATGTTTTTCAGTGTGTTATAAATCAAGCTCAGTGTTGTTGACATTTATGGCAAATAATTTTAAAAGCTTTTGTTTTAGGATTACTTAGTATTGGAAAACAATATAGCCAGACTTTACTAAATCTGCTAAATGACGTCAAGAACAATTCTGTAGAATCCTGAATAAAGACACCGCGAAGTGAGTTATTTCCACGGCATTCACGACTAATTTTTAGCTTTTTTTCGCCGCAATTAATCGACAGCTGTACAAAACAGGATTTGTTTTTGGTAAATGTTTAGCTACGCCTCGAAGTGGAACTAATTTTGAAGGCTTAAATATTATCCTGTCCAGGAACAAAGTATTACATAACATCTTCAAAGTTGCATGTAAACTACATGTTGTTAACCCGGGGGGGGTACTTCCCCGAAACTTGTGTGGGGGTGTGCCGCTGGGACCTCAAAACCCTGACCCTGTTCCAGAGTGAAATCGCTGAAAACTATACCCTGTTCCAGAGTAAAATCGCTGAAAACGATACTCTGTTCCAGAGTAAAATCCTGCACTAGCTTGCGTGTAGACCGAATTTTTACCCCATGAATTTTTATCCAGCATCAATAATTCCGGAATTCAACCCTGACCCTGTTCCAGAGAAAATTCGTTGAAATCGATACCCTGTTCCAGAGTAAAATCGCTAAAATCGATACCCAGTTCCAGAGTAAAATCGCTGAAAACGATACCCTAGCTGGCGGCACGTCCCCGTATAGCGAATATAGGGGAGTACCCCCCCCGGGGTTGTTAACAAGTCTTTGAGCAGTTTTGAACTCCAATGGAGGGTTATTTTACTAGCATAGCTCCCGCAGCCGTAGGAATCGTCGCTTTATTTATAATTGTGCGTAGGTTTTTGGCCATTGACAAGACTAACAGTCCTGACGCTTTCGATTTTGAACCGTCGGTGTGTGAAGATGGCAAACTGCAGAGACCGCTTGGTATGTTTGAGAAAACTTGCCAGTTTTTGTCTGCCTTGAATGACGGCTCTGGAAACGATATCACTGTCCTAATTGTAAAGTCGCGCGTTTCATTGAACCCTGATATGGTGAAGAGAGCTTTGGTTTTGGTCCAGGAACGCTACCCTCTGCTACGCATGAGAGTGCACGGCTTGACATCGAAGTTCAAGGAGATGAAAGACCATTTTAAGGTCGATTTCAAAACTATGAACTACTATGATCCACAAGAATGGGTCCAAGCATTTGAAGAGGAAAGTCTTATTCCGTTTGACTTGGATCAAGGACCACTATGGCGAGTGTCGATGCTGAAAGAACACTTTGATGGACACCATTATGAGAATAGTTTGCTGTTTAGTTTCCATCATATCATATGCGACGGAACCTCCATTATGGCATTGTATAACACTTTCCTCCAGTATCTTAATGATCTGCAGAATAACAATGACGTTGACGTTGAAAGTATGGCTTTGAATCCTCCTCTAGCTCACTTCATAGGTCATAAGCTTCACTCAAGTCTTTTGGAGAAGTGCCTCTTTAAAATGTTACCAACTTTAATAAAGATCAAAAACATGCTCGTGAAACCAGCTCAAAATATCTCTTTGGCAACATTCCCACCACCAATCTTGCAGGATCCATCAATCGTCAAGAGAACAAGCGTCATTCCAGCAGTTTTGAGGAAAGATGAGCTCTCACAACTGCTAATGCTCGGCAAGAAACATGGGTGCACGTTTCATAGCGTTATTACTGCTGCAACTCGTCTTGCCATGGCACAAATCCTGAATACAGGCTCTGTGAAGTCAAAGTCTGACATGGTCAGCTTTATAAATGGGTTTAACATCTCTTTGAGAAATGACGCACAGCCTCCCATTCCCAAGGAAGAATTTGGACTCTTTATTTCTGTTCTACAAATGAATGTCCCCACACCCGCTGTACAAAAAATCACCCCACAAGATTTTAGGGACTTTGCGAGAGAATGTCAATGCATTAATAAAGAAATTAGTTCAGAGTGACGACCGTTTTAAGTTTTTAAAATTCGTCGGAAATAGTGATTTGGTTAAAGAACTGATGTCTCTGGAGGATTCCTCTATTTGCGGCCGTTACGATTTAGCATTCAACATTTCCAACAGAGGTCGCTTTGCCATTGGTGAGCCAACCGATGTTTTCCAGTTTGGTGGCACGTACTTTGCCATGGCTGAGCAAACTAGAGGTCCGCCATTTTGTCATAATGTTGTGTCAGTGAACGGTGATTTGTACTGGGGATTGGTTTATTATCCCCATATTAGCACCAAAGAACAATCCCGGCGCATTCTCGAACTGTCCTTGGATATTCTGAAAGTGGCAGCCTCATCTATGGAATGAAATTTCCTTGATGATCAAGCTGGGAACTGTTCTCCTGTGCAATGCTTGCTCGAAGCTTGTAATTATCTTTAGATTGCCATTGTTTTTTTTTGTGTGTGTGTCTCAAAACAACGTTGAGAAAGAAAGTGAAAAAAAGTATATAAAAATAATCATAAACTAATTTTCTCAGCTCTTTTAATATATGTTATGGCGTAGCAAATG